ACTTACAATGTCATTCTCTTCGTCCGATCTTTGAAGAAAAAGAAAAAAGTCACAGGCGTCTTGAATCATCTTCTTAATCATGTTGCCTCGCGTTGCATAAAAATAACGATTTAACTCGAGTGTAAATATGCGCACCTCGAGGGGGGTTAACGCGATATATCGCGGTCTCTCCTCGATATTAATCATATTATCCGTGACTTATTACCTCCCTCGCAGTTTCGCGACGCGTATAAATGCCTGTGAAGCCATTATCAACTGCAGAATTCAATGCATCCGAGTTGGCGCATGTTAATGCGTGGCTGAATATTAAAAGCGTGGCTCGGTCAAGCACAAAGTGCATCTAACGTTCAAACGGTCGACACTTTGACAAAATCGTGTTTTATTAACGAGCAAATTGGATGGTACGCGACGCGTTCCATTTATCAGAGAAATTCACGCGATATATATTTATGGGGCCGTTCGCCTAGTAGATCGTGTCATTTATCTCGAAAGGAAATCGCGTTCGCGTTTAAATAAATCGGTGCTCGTTTTCTTTCCAGATGAAATTCCGCAATACCAAGAATCCGTTCGAAACAGAATTCCATCCAATTACGATTCGATCATCTCCCTCCTCGTCCGATTATTCCTCTCTCGATGAATGTTGTCCAACATCCTCTCTATATACCAAAGATCGATAATTACGGAGGAAAAATAATACAAGACCGCGATACATGCATAATACAGATATTTGCATTTGGCGGTGTGGTTACGATAAATAGATCGGAACCGTAAGGATTATGACGGAAAACGAGCCGATTCTACGACCTTAACCACCCATAATTTCCTCCCTTTAACACATTTTCCTCTCGTTTAACGAACATCCGAACATGACGCGGGATTTTCACGGCGTCGTAAAGACGAAACGAGCGACAAGCCTACACGTACGCCTACTTCTAACTATGCATTCGAGCGAACGTTAAGGGGGATAAGGCCCCCCAATCAAAAGTATCCTGTACTAACACCAACCGAATACGCGTCACATCACTGTCCAAGTTTTAAACGATTAGCTTCCAATCTTGCTCGGGTTAATCCGGACGCTCGATCGAGCGCCGAGGCACACTGACATACCTTTTCCGGTTGAGGCCCCCACGGCTTCACCACCAACAACTCCTCCTCCGCGTTCGGAGCCATGTCCGTCTCACTGGAACAGATAAAAAAGAGCAAGGATTTTTAGCCATCAACTCGAGTCTAGACAGGTAAGTTGTCGGTTTTGTACGAGCAACACGACCAACATTCGCCAAGGGTAACGATCTTTGAAATGGTGCTTTGAACCCTGTCCAACTCGCTCCTCCAACTTCGCCTCCTCCTCCGAGTCTAGCTCTAGCTGCCTCTCTAGTCACGGTTAATTGGGAATTCGTATCCGGTGTCGAGTGGATCGTCCATCGTGTGGAACGAGTCCTTCGGAGAATTTTCATCCGAATGAAATTCTCGAACGGTGTATCTCGTTCGCTTCGCTTCGCCGTGAAGGGAACAGGTAGGGAGAATTTCGTTTCGATCACATTTGTATCGCGTCCGGACTAAACTTCCGTTCCGCTAGATCGTACCGGATTATTTACGGTTCACGGATGCTGCCGATGCAATTTATTGTGGGAAGTGGTTGCGGCTATTACGAGCAATTCTTATCTATCGCGTCCCCGCTCCGTCTTGCGCCTCCCTTAAACACTGCCAATTAAACCTAACGAGTTTACAATAATAATTTTATTAATTAATGAGTTTCGCGCCTCGTTAGGAGTTGATTGGAACGGGGGACCATTAAATCATCGCGTTGCGATGGAATATTCATGTTGTTCGAAGAAGGTAGGCTAACGAATCCCTTCCACCACGCGATTCATTTGTCACAATTTGGCGCAAAACGTTTTTCGAAATCTTTTCCGTATGATGTATATATACACTTGTTTCGGAATAATTGACGGTATTAACGCTTAGTCGTCGCAAATAGTACCAGCATCGTTCCCAATCCTGTTGCAAACATTCCTGCAACACACGAACGTACCAATTTCGATGTAAACGTCTCTCTTACGACGTGATGATGAAGCAACAAACCTTGGATACCCTAGAATTTTCTCCGAAAATAAACTCGTCGGGGCTATTGATCGCGAGACGGTTAAATCGAGACGGTGGTTGAAATTTAATAGATCCGAGTAATTTATGATCGAGCCGGAGTGGCGATAATATCTAACACGCGCAACCTGTTATTCGGATAATCTTTCGCCCCGAACGAAACCGTGGATCGATGTTTCATGCTCGGTTCGACGCGATGCGACGCGACGCGATCCGTTCGGGCGGAGGACGAGCAAGAGCGAGGACACGGAACGCGGATTACTCGGTTTTGTGGGTTAGCCACGATAATAATAGGAGTCACGATCGCCACGGTCACGAGCCGGTATACGATCGTGTATCGAGCGATCGAAAGAGGGTCGCTGCTTCTTCTCGATCGAGAGAATATACCGGTCGAGACCGCGTTGTCCTGATCCGGATCGCGTTATGGGTTGGCTGGAATCGTGGCTATTCGGGTAATTCCATCGGTAAGTATATGGATGATGAAGTTATTGTAATTCGCTGGATAGAAATTGGTTTTCGATTTGCTGAACAATCGATACGTTGTTTCGAAAATTTCTAACTTTCTCTCCGTGTGGATCCCGAAGAGGGTTGTAGATCTTTGGAAACGAGCGCGTGAATCGATTCGATGGAAATAACAAGACGTTGAACCGCGATTACTTCGATTCAGATAGGTTCATCGCACTCGAAGTCTCTTCTTTCGAGATAGAATTTGAAATTAGCCTCGATGCTGGATACCGATTGTAATGGCAAGTACAAGTATTTTCCAGCGTATCGATTAATTCAAGGCATAATTAATCCAGTTTAACGCGCAACAGGAACGGAGCATCGGACCATAAACTGTTGATAATGAAGCGAAACGTAGAATCGCAAATCCCGACCAGTTTCACGTTTGGTGAACCAGTAATTCTCGGTGAAATATCTTCGACATTCTTCTTCTTACAATTATACTTATTGCTGTTACTGCGTTAACACGTGTGCGACGACGTATGCGCGTTACGGAATACGAAACGTGCGCGAGATTCAATTAACCGTCCAATCGTTTGATTCGTGTTTTTCCCGATAATTATCGCGTATTAAAATATCACAGGCAGAGATGTAATACGTTCAAGATTATGCGCGCCGTATAAAAGCGCTATAATAAAACTTGGGCGAGAAGAGCAACTCCAACTTTAAGACGCTCGTGCCATTAAGGAACGCCATTTCACTACTCATTGCACGGGAATGGTTCTCACCCCGGAAAACAAACGCACCAGTGTCTCGATCTAATCCACCGATCTAATCTCCTCCGTTAAACGTCTCTAATATAGTCCTATGAATCTTTGAAATCTTTCAAATGATCTCAACTTATCCTCCACTCCTTCGAATCACTTAATACATCTCTCTCTCCGTACAGCTTTTCCAGATTTCGATCAGACGCGTCGATATCGTTCTCTGCCTAGAATCGAAAAATTATTTCGCGCGGAAGAAGAGGCGAACGCGATAAAAATTCTGCTGCCGCACAACTGTCGGCTCAACGAATCGTAGATTTGATTTGCGCTGTCAACGAATGGCGGCGGATCGAATCCGACCGAGGTCATCATCATTAATCTTGAAAAACGTTGTTTCACCGGGCCCCCCCGCTACGGTCACGGCCCTCGCGTGTCAAAGGGGGCCGCCTCGCGGAAACGTCAGCACACGGAGCGAACGCGTGCTCGTCAGCTCGCCGATCTTGAGCTTGGCTGGTACGAGCATAACGTAGTAGCGAAGGTAGCCACGGGAGTAGGTAGATAGTTAGCCGAGGAGGACAGCCGAGGCATTGACCCGCGCGCGAGTGGTTAGTCACACGCATACGCACGCACTTTTGCACGCTTACTCGCGCGTACGCCGCGCGCTTGCTACGCAGTCACCAAGGAATTCCACCGCCTAAGCATTCATTCTCGGGGGAGAGGTTGGCTAGGTGGAAAATTGGAGAAAGTAGATGACGAGGAATCGAGAGGATTCGACGCGAGGAACGTGAACAGGGCCAAGTTCGTACGACTATTATCGATCGATACAGGAGACCGTGTTTCTGGAACACGGCTTGGAAATCGTGTCGGAATAACTGTAGCTGAATTTCGAATAGGGATATTTTTTACTTCGAGAATCGAAAACTTTGTGAGGTTCTTTCAACTTTTGAACTCGATTAATTTGAACCAGAATCATTCTCAACACAGTGTCTTCCAATGACGATATCGAATCTCGAGAGTTCGAATCGTATCTTTGCGATCGAATCATCGATATACGTCGATATACGTTCTTTTTTCGAGCTAACAGTAAAAATCGGGCGATCGAAAAACGGTGATGCAGCTCGATTTGTACATCGAGCTTCGCAATTTTGTATCTTGCTAACCCTTTTAACGACAGAATCGGTAAAATAAAAAGGTCCGAGGAACGAGAGGTTCCCGGTGACTGGTTTAAAACGTTGATCGCAATTTTCTTCCAGCGAGAATTCCTAGCATTTTAATTCCTCGAAAATTGCAAACCGAGCAAGATCGGTCGGTTATTGTGAAAACGCTATGCCTATTTCGCTGTGTGGATAGTCGCGTGCACCGTACGAGAGCTCACGTTTCGCCCGTGAATAGGTAATGCAATGCTCGAACAGGCGCCATGACTCGTCCAAGCCGGTGTCCTCGTAGGCTTTGCCGTCGATTTGTGCCGCGAAAAATTCACCGATCGTCGATCCCGCGTCGCTGATCTTCCTCCAGGCTATTAGCGGAATATGCGAGAACGTGGAATTTCTGCTGTTCCGTGAGCTACGCGTCACCGTCCCGTCTTTACGATGATAATACGCGTTTCGTCGATTTTATTCGTGTGGTTAAAACTCTCAGTCTTTCCATCCGTTCGTTTCGTTCCTCTTTATTTCGGAAGAATTCGACGCAACTTGACCGAAATTCCCCTTTTTTTCTCCGCCGGTATACTCAAACACGACGATATTTTCTCTCGCGAAGAGAAAAGACAAAGGATTGTTGCTTGAAATTACTCGGTAAAATGAAATCTATGAACGTATGGTGGTTGTGCTATCCACAGCTATTACGACGAAGGTCGCACGAACTGGGGAAGTACAGTTGAATCCATAGAGGAGAGCACATTGTAAGCATCACGGTACTCGTAATGCTTCCCGTCGGCTGTTTGCTCGAGGTATCGGTTATCTCGAGCCAGGAAGAGGAGGAAGAGAGAGAGAGAGAGGAGGGTCGACGGTGGAAGAGAATCGCGATCGGGCAAAGAGGCGCCACGACTCGATGCGGTTACCTTTATCCGCTTCGAATCCTCCGGAAAAATCACGTCGATCGAGACTTCGGATCGTCGATCTTGACGACCATTAGCGGACTACACGAGAATCCAGGTAAGATTTTTCCATCGTCGCTCCTCCGCTCGGTTCTCCATCCAAACGGTGGAATGCTAACCGATGCCCGGAAGTGTATAGTCGATCTTCCATACCTGAACCACCTGAGAAAGAAGTCAATTCGCATTCCCGACTTCATCCGATGGAAAAACTTTGCTTATTTACAGAGGCGCTTTGACTTTCGTAAAATTGACTATCTTCTTGCGTAACACACCTTCTTCCTACTTCCTTTTTTATTCCCTTTTTATTCCATCGTGTACAATGTTCGTGAGAGGCAATTCGTAGCCAATTAACGGGCTCCATTCGATGCTAATGCGGTGTTAATAACCGGTTAAGATGTGTCGAAATATCTAAAGATTTGTTTCTGTCGTAGTCACGTCGTTGAAACGTCGTTTAAACGTTTCAGATCGATTTCGATATTGTTCTTTCGATCCAGTGTTTCAAGTTTTTAAATCGTGATTGACGCGCGAACCATACTTTTCACGATGCTTTTAACCGTGAACAGAAATCGATTCCGAAGAATAATTTCACAGAAATGTGAAAACCGAGAAAGAATATGGCTAATTACCTAGTCTAAGACTCGAAGACTAGTTTAAAAGAAATCGTAACGCAAGTGGAGGAATCGTGTGGAGGGCACGTGAGACTTTTCCATCGGGAAACAGACGAAAGGTTCGTTCCACGGAACAAGGTAATTGGTGGAATTAAGTAAACTGTAAATA